TGGTGAGCTGCAGTAAAATGCAGATGTAGCATTTTACCATACTATCACACTGGCTAGACTGATAATTATAACACTGAATAGTTCTCCAATATACATAAAAAATAGAATAAAATAAAAAAGTACATTTATATTAATAAAAAGTACAAATAATATTAGTGTGCAAGCTGGGGGACTCTACAATGGTCTTAGTTCATGTTTTTATAAACTTACATACAGTATGTCATAATGAAAGAATGCATTTTTTATTGAAAACATGCTTTGTTTGCAATCCAGTTTAAAGAACTTCTTTGCACTGTATGTGCATGAAAACGGGCATTAAAACACATATGCAGTGCGCACGTTTTCACACATTTCACACATAGATGCATTCAATTGTATTTATCTGCTATTTTTACATGCCTTTTTAGGCTCTTTCCTATATCACTTCCCTTTTCCTCTTTGTGGGTTGATAGAGAGAGATAGAGAGAGCGAGCAGTTGTTGTGTAGTTGTATTGTAGAGTTTATATGCAGTTTATGTGGATTTTTTTAAAGTTGTCTGTGACATCCTTGGTTAATTGTTGTCCTTGCACTAGCTATATTGAGGAGTAGGATGAAGAGATGGTCATATAGAAAACATCCTTTTTGAGCTTATCTGCTGCTAAGTCAATGCGAAACCAAAAGCCAGAACTGATCCTTAACCCCAATGTCTGCCAAAGTAAATTTCAGAAACTGTCCTGGTATTCAGGGGGTTAAAGCAAGCCCAAGGCTGCTGCAGCTGTGAGCTTGCAATTGATTTTTAAAGTCAGCAAAAGTGGTCCAAGTGGCTCAAGAGCTGGGAAGCTCTGACTGTGTGCACCCCCACCAGTCGCCGTGGTGGAATTGAAGAGCACAGGACCATAGTAAACAGCAGTAGATTTAAGAACTTTTGTGACTAGTTAACTCCTAAGCGACATGCATTATGTCACCTCGGGTTGGCAGTTATCATTCCCCAGCTACTGTAGCCAGGGAAGCAGCTAATTAAGCAAGATTTGTGCTTTATTACTTACAGAGGAGATCACAGGGGTCTAATAGACCCCTGAAGTCTTCCTAAAGAGGACCTGTCACCTGCCCTTGTTATCACATAGGAGGCTGTTAGCCTTCTGGCGGTAGTAATAAAGTTAAATAAGAAAAAAAAGTTTTGAAAATACAGATTATAATACAATAAATTAAAAAAAAAATGGTAAAAGCACCCTAGTCACCCTCTATGCACACCCCACTGCTAATGTGCAGTGTAGGAAGTGTACTTTTATGTGAACATATATTGAGATAGCACTGTGGCCTCAGAGTGAGAACAATAATTCTAGGGCCATAATTTACAGGTAAATCTATACTGGTAAGCTGTCAAATGCTTTCAAACCATTGCTTATGGAGAATTTTGGGTACCCTATTTTTTTGCGATTTCATGGTCACATGTAGTTTTAAGGCTTGACATGTTTGGCATCTATTTACTCAATGTATACCTAACATTTGTATTTTACTAAACAGTTGGGTATAATATTGGGTTTGTTGGCACAGAAATTATTTTAGTGTATTTTCTCCTAATATGTGATTAATAGCTGCACAAATATCATGCAACATTGCATCTGCCACCATTTTATTTTCCACGGTCTCTTCTTGTTTGGGTAATTAAAGTAATTTCTTGCACAAAAATGCAGATTTTTACTTTAATCATTTAATCATAAATTTTTAGTATGGCAAGCAAAAAATTGGCAGATAAGATTTTACTACATACCTCTTTAAACATCATTGTTTAATTGACGTTAAAGTGGTTACAAAGGTAAAAGTTTTTTTTACCTTAATGAATTCTCTGCTAGGTTAAAAACCTTTTAATAGTAGCTTCTCTGCAGCTGCCCTCAAATACTTACCTGAGCCAATCTCAATCAATCACTGTGCACGTCTGCAGCAGTTCTTCTCCCCTTTTCCCGCTCTCATAGGCTTGGCTGGGAGCAGAAGAAGCCATTGGCTCCTGATGCTGTCAGTCAAAACCTGTGAGCAGAGAGCTGGGGGTGGGACTGAGCCATGGTGGTGAACAGCCCTTCAAGCATTCATGAGTGCCCCCATATGAAGCAGCTTCCTATGGTGGGCATTTGTTGGTGGGGAGGAGCCAGGAGTGCCAGTGAAGGACCCCAGAAAATGAGGATCAGGGCTGCTCTGTGCAAAACCATTACACAGAGCACTTAAGTATGACATGTTTACTATTTTAGTAACTATTTTTATGCACTGGGCCAAATAAGATAAATCCCAAAAACAACTATGTACATGGCAGCATGTAATTTAGGACTCCACTATGCAGCAACATATATTTTGGAAGGTATTACCAACATTGTTTTCATTTTAAAACAATGGGAGAACGATAAATAATGCATTATTTTGACAACTTTCTTGGACTGGTGAGATCAGTCTCTGAATTGCCCAGCTCAGTATTTTGTACAGCAGTGTCACCCACAGGGTGGCTGATTGCTCCACATGGGTAAGCAACCTTCCCTTCAACCACTGTTATTTAATTAAGTTACGGAAGATAGCAAGGTGATTTGTACTACTGTCTCTGTATTTGTTATCTCTCCATATATACAACAGCTGGATTGGTACTCAATCAATCTTTGATCAAAGCTTCATTGTTCATGTTCTACAGCCCTGTCCGTGCATTAGACAGCCTCGATTTAGGCATAGGACATACCCTAATTGTCCAAATCCCTAAAGAGAACTAACATGGCCTTACATTTTAAGGTGATTATAGTTGGAGAAATTACAGTGCTGGATGTGTATTTATTTTCATTTAAAAGTTATCGGACAAGCTTGTTGTTTTGTCCATGTTTTCTTTTTTAACTTTTCCCACAATAGAGACCAAACCAAACCTCTTCATGAAAACACCTAGTGCAAAACAGAACAGTATCATCAATAGTACCTAACAGTGATGTTTTGAAGTAAGGAAACACACATGCCAAGTACAGCTTCAAAATAATTTGTTCAATTTATCGCAAAATCCCAATACTTTCCAAACTTGAGTAATGTAAACAAGAGGCCCAAGAAAACATACATACTGAACTTTCAACAAACAAAACAGATCTTTGTTAACTACTAGAGTCAAGCATCACATAAAACATACACAATTCAAAGAACAGCTGTATTAATACAAAAGTAAATGAGGGATAGAAGGGGTTAACTAAGACCCTGCATTGAGGTACTGCTTTCATTTCTTCTAACTGGCATGGACAATTTATAGTAAGTCTTTCCACCCACACGCCTCTGTTTTTTTTTAAATTATATCTTTTATTAAGTTTTTCCATTACAAAAATCAATCTTATACAATTCACATATACACAAATTACAAAATTACAATTAAATTTTATCCTATTCCCTTCCCCCCCACCTTCCACCCCCCCCCCCTTTTCCAAGTACCCATGTCCATATCCCACTTACTTACTTCCAATTCCTGCCTTATTTTCTGTCTATAACTATGTCCCTTCCCTCCTACTTTCTCTCTTTATTTCCTTCTGTAGCACTGCCCCTTGGGACAAGCTGTAATATATTATGGGTCCTGCGCTCAATAGATCCAACCCTAAGCAAACCCAATCCCTCTGGCACAACTGGTAATGAATAGCAAATACCCCGCCAAGAAATTTGCTGACACAGGGTTAAATAAAACAAGAACAATTTTATGGATAATAAAATGTAGTGTAGAGGGGTGGGGTTCCCCTTTCAACTTCAAAACTTACTTTTCTTCTTTTATGCAATGCAGTAAATTTGGTCTGCCACTAGAGGGCTTCACAGCCAAGAGTCTCCGGATGGCAGAGCCACACTTTAAGCAGAATACAACTGATATCAAACAAATAAACTTACTTATACTCTATCAATGAAATGTATTACCCACACCGGTGTATGATTCTGCTTCTGAGGGGCGTTAGCCAAAAATCACCTCAGAGTCAGAACAGAATGCAATAAAGAGGTACCTCTAATAAGGCTACTAAGCCAGATTCCCCCACTTCAGTCCTTGTAACGGTGGAGCTCTAGTTGGTGCACGTTTAGTCCTTATAATGAAGTAAATAGCAGCTGAAGATTTCTTTGGAGTTTCAGCTGGTGTGGGTTACATCAGATTTCACTAGGTTTCTGGGCTGAGAGGGTCCAACCTCAGTGTCTAAAGGCAACACAAAGCACCCCAAGACCAGGGGCAGTCGCAGGATGCAATCTCCCAGTATGTGTCAGTCCCCGGGGCAGACAGTCTCAATTACACTGGTGGTGAGGGGCAAAGCAGGCAGAGGGATCTGTGGCTTGCACAGGGCCCTGGATGGGTGAGATCCCAGCAGTGGGGTGCGGATGTCCCAGTCTATATGCAAAGTGTAAATGGTGTGTCTTACTCTCTCCAGGGGGACAGCTCACCAGACTCTGAACACACAGCAGGGTCCCTCTATCCGCGCTGGGTGCTGTAGTGCCTCCTCCTCTGCTTGGACGGGCTCCACATGTCCCTGTCTTTTCTCCAGCCTCGTGTCTCTCTGTTCTCCCCTTCACTTCCTGCTTCCTCCCCCCCCCCAGCGTCCTTTGCTGAGTCATAAACTTGGCAGAATGCCCAGGTTTTACAAATAGGGGAGGGAGAGGAAGGACCTTCTGAATCCTCTTGTACAAAGAGCCTGCTACACACTCCCCCCACCAGAGAAGCTTTGGTCCTCCAAAGACAGCAGTAAAAGCAACCTGTTACATGCTTTTTATATACACGCAGAGAGAAAGCAAAGTTAGTGCACGCAGGAAATTAAATTATTCACACTTGCATAAGAATCTGGCAGAGGAACCTCCCACCATGTAGCAGAGTGAGGGTTGTCCTGCCCATAGGCCACACTAATGGGAATGGCCCAACCAGATGTACCAGGGGGTGAGTTGGGGCTGTTCTCTACCGAAACTGCTGTAGGAGAACCAGGCGTCACGAGAGTCCTTTGAGAAGCATGCACTACTTCTTCAGAGTTTTCACCCAACACATCATATGTCAGTCTTTTTGGGGGTTGAATAACTCTACGCTCTCTCTGTTCCCTGGGCTCTAGCAATGGTTCTGGCGTTACTTCCGATGTTGGTTCTGACACTACTGACTCATCAACCCTCGCTTCTTGCTCGACGCTCTCTGTTTCTCCCAGTTCAGCTTCCTCCACGTCTTCTCCCTCATCAACAATGGACCACCAGTCTTCAGGTTCTTGCAAGTCTTCTGCAGGTTGGGCCTGAGGCACAAATTCAGGAGCCTCTGGCCTAAGAGTGTCAGGGCAGGGCTGTGGAACGGACAGGTAGGCCTAGTGGCAGGGTAACGCACTGGCTGACGACAACCACCACCAACAGACTGAAGTCCCTCAGGGCGCGGAGTCTAAGTCCCAGGCTGCCCTTCACCAGGGCCCCTGATGGTGGGGATGGACTTGACGCAACCAGGGACCAGGTCGTGGCCCCCGAGACACCCCAGCTGCGGTAATGGCCGCCGCCAATGGCGTGTAGTTGGTGAGAATGACAATAGCGTAGTCAGACAAGCCGGGTCAATAACAACAGGACAAAACAGTACAGAACAGTAGACAGAGAATCACAGGTCACGGGCCGGGTTCAGCAACAGAAGGTCAGATCAAAGGGAAACGCAGAGAATGGTCTTAGTCACAAGCCGAGTCAGAATACCAGAAGAGTCACGAGCGTATACACAGAGCTGTAGCAAGACAAAGACACAAGACACAAGTGCAAAGAGCATGTGCAGATCCCAGGCTTATATGTACTCAGCCACACCCCTCTGGGGGATGGACCTCAGAGACCTGAAGGCATAAAAGATTCCCATCATGCTCAGCAGAAATCCAAGATGGATGCTAGCACATGGAGTAACATAACCTCTGGGAAAAGGTAGGACCTTGACAGTACCTCCTCCTCAAGGGCCCCTCCCCCTCCGCGGCTCAACAAAAGGTTTCCGAGGAAAGCGGGTATGAAACGCGCGGAGGAGGGCAGGAGCATGGACATCCGCGGAAGGAACCCAGGAACGCTCCTCGGGACCATAACCGCGCCAATGAACCAGGAACTGTAATCGGCCGCGCACCAATCGAGAGTCCAGGATCCGGCTCACCTCATACTCCTCATGACCGTCAACCCGAATGGGACGGGGCCGAGGCAGAGAGGTAGTGAAGCGATTGCAGATCAGAGGTTTCAACAGTGATACATGAAAGATATTGGAGATCCGCATCCCAGGTGGAAGGGCAAGGGCATAGGCCACCGGATTCACCTTGCGGAGAATGCGAAAAGGACCGACAAAACGGGGAGCTAGTTTGGGTGTGGGCACCCGAAGATTGAGGTTACGAGTAGACAACCACACCCGATCGCCGACCTGGTATGAAGGAGCGGGCAACCGTCTGCGATCAGCCTGGAACTTCTGACGCTGAGCCGAGTCCCTCAAAGCCCTCTGGATCTGCCCCCATGAAGAACGCAGGGCAGCAAGATGGTTCTCCACAGCCGGAATGTCCTGTGGTGAGAATCTCTCAGGTAATACCGCGGGTTGGTACCCATAGTTGGCCATGAAGGGGGACATCCCGGAGGAGGAGTTGACCGCTGAGTTCCTGGCAAACTCAGCCCAAGGCAGGAGATCGGCCCAATCGTCCTGATGGTCCGAGATATAACACCGAAGGAATTGTTCTAAGGCCTGATTGGAACGCTCCGCAGCCCCATTGGACTGCGGGTGGTAGGCTGAAGAAAAGGAGAGACTAATGCCCAACTGGGAGCAGAAGGCGCGCCAGAATCTGGACACGAACTGACTCCCGCGGTCCGAGACAATCACCTTGGGCAACCCATGCAGGCGAAAAATCTCCCTGGAAAAGACCGTGGCCAGTTCTTGCGCTGTTGGTAATTTCCTGAGTGGAATACAATGGCACATTTTGGAAAAACGATCGACAACCATGAGGATGACCGTATGACCCCGAGACACAGGGAGGTCTACAATAAAGTCCATGCCCAGGTGTGACCAAGGACGCTCCCCATTGGGAATGGGTTGCAGAAGACCCATTGGAAGATGCCGTGGAGATTTATTCTGGGCACAGATCGAACATGCCGCTACATAAGAGGCGATGTCGGCACGGAGAGTTGGCCACCAGAACAACCGAGAGACGACCCAAGACAACTGGTTCCTCCCCGGATGCCCGGCAGTTTTGGAGTTATGGTAGGTACGCAGCAGACGGGTGCGCAACCCCTCGGGTACAAAACATCTACCCTCCGGTCTCTCGGGAGGAGCGTCAGTTTGAGCCGCCAAAATCTGCTCCCCAAGGGGAGAAGTCAGACTGGTACGAATGGCAGCCAGGATATGATCCGGAGGTATGACCGAGGTTGGCTCAGAGTCCTCCCTGGACAACTCAGAGTATTGCCGCGATAATGCATCAGCCCTGACATTCTTGGAACCAGGCAAATAGGAGACCACATAGTTGAACCGCGACAAGAACAAGGCCCATCTGGCTTGACGGGGTGTCAATCTTTTGGCCTCCGAAAGATAAGTCAGGTTCTTATGATCGGTAAGAATGAGGACCGGAACTGCGGAGCCCTCGAGCAGGTGCCTCCATTCCTTGAGAGCCAGAATGATTGCCAACAACTCCCTATCTCCAATCTGGTAGTTGCACTCTGCAGAGGAAAGCTTCCTGGAGTAGAACCCACAGGGAAGTAGGGGTCCATCGGGCGACCGACGTTGAGACAGGAGAGCGCCTACTCCTGTCTCGGATGCATCAACCTCAAGGACGAAAGGCAATCCAGGATTGGGATGAGACAGTATCGGAGCCGAAGCGAAGGCGGATTTCAGAGCCTCAAAAGCTACGATGGCCTCGGATGGCCACTCGTGAGGATTGCTGCCCTTCTTGGTTAGGTCTGAGAGAGGTTTTGCCAGCGTGGAGAAATTTCTGATGAATTTCCGATAGTAGTTGGCAAAACCTAAAAAGCGCTGAATGGGCCGAAGGCCATTGGGACGAGGCCACTGCAGAACTGCCGAAACCTTCTGAGGGTCCATGGAGAATCCCTCCGCAGAAATGATGTAGCCTAAAAAGGCAACTTGGGATCGATGGAATTCGCACTTCTCAAGTTTACAAAAAAGTTCGTTCTCACGTAATCGTTGCAGCACCTGCTTGACATCCTGGATATGGGACTCCATGGAGGCAGAGTAAACCAGGATGTCATCCAAGTAAACTACCACGCACTGCTGCAACAAGTCACGAAGGACATCATTTATGAATTCCTGAAAAACTGCGGGCGCGTTACACAACCCGAAGGGCATCACCAGGTATTCGTAGTGACCGGTTCTGGTGTTAAACGCGGTCTTCCACTCATCCCCCTGTTTGATCCGTACGAGGTTGTACGCCGCCCTAAGGTCAAGTTTGGTAAAGACTGTTACCCCCTTAAGGCGGTCGAACAACTCAGTAATCAAGGGAATCGGGTAGGCATTCTTAGTGGTGATTCGATTGAGACCCCTATAATCGATGCAAGGCCTCAATTCACCACCCTTCTTCTTTACAAAGAAAAAGCCCGCTCCTGCTGGGGAAGTAGACTTACGAATGTGCCCCCGGGAAAGCGCATCCGCAACGTACTCCTCCATGGCCTTATTCTCCGCAACCGAGAGAGGATACACCCTGCCACGCGGAGGAGTGGCACCGGGTTGCAAGGATATGGCGCAGTCGTAAGGACGATGAGCAGGTAAGGCACCAGCGCGTACCTTATCAAACACGTCCTGGTACTCCCCATAATCAGTGGGCAACGCAGAGTCTGAGGAGGCACACAACACCTTAACCGGCCCACGGATGCACCCGGCCCCACACTGTGAAGACCACGAGAGAATCTCGGCAGTTTGCCAATTGAAGGTTGGATTGTGCATCTGGAGCCAGGGATACCCCCAAAACCACCGAATAGTGCGGAGAAGAAATCACCTGGAAACAGGCCAACTCCCTGTGAACAGCCCCAATAGCTACCTCAACTGGCATAGTCTCGTGGGTAACCTGCGGTGGTTGCAGGGGCCTGCCATCTATTGCCTCGAGAACCAATGGGGTAACTCGAGCCTGCAGGGGAATGGAGTGCTGGGCAGCAAACGAGCTGTCCATAAACAACCCGCCAGCCCCAGAATCTACCAACGCCTGGGCCGTCACCGAGCCCTCCGCCCAAGAGAGGACAACGGTGATCAGTGGCTTATCTCTGCGGAACGCCGGGGACGAGGAGACTCCACCCAAGATCTGTCCCCGACAGGATCTCAGGTGCGAGCGTTTCCCGGACGGACCGGACAGGACTGCCGAAAGTGCCCACCAAGACCACAGTACAGGCAGCGACCCTCCCGACGCCGAGCGGCCCGCTCCCCCTCGGAAAGGCGAGCAAACCCCAGCTGCATGGGCTCACCACCAGACAATCTATCCCCAGGAGGCGTGGGAGGAGAGGGAGGAATGGGTGGGATAGAAAACGCAGGTGCCAGTCGATTGGAAGGCCTCCGCAGGCGTTCCTTGAGTGAAGGCCTCTCCCTGAGCCTGGTATCAATCAGGATCAGGAAGGAAATTAGTGCTTCCAGCTCCACAGGCAATTCCTTGGCTGCGATCTCGTCCTTCAATGCATCAGAAAGACCCTGAGAAAAAACGCAGCCACCAGAGCCTCATTGTTCCAACCCACCTCTGCTGCCAGGGTACGAAACTCTATGGCGTACTCGGCCACGGTCCGTGAACCCTGATGCATAGACATGAGCAGCTTGGCAGCCGAGGCGGAGCGAGCCGGTACATCGAATACCCTACGGAAGGCATCGACAAAACCGGAAAACTCGTGAATCACGGGGTCATTCCTCTCCCATAAGGGATTCGCCCAGGCCAAGGCCTTGTCTGAGAGTAGTGAGATGAGGAAACCCACCTTTGACCTCTCAGTCGGAAAAGCGTAGGGGATTAATTCAAAGTAAATCCCCACCTGGTTAAGGAACCCACGACACTGACTCGGCTCACCCCCAAAGCGCTGTGGAAGAGGGGCTGAACCGGTCATACCTCTGGACACCGCGGGTGCCGCATCAGCCGCGGCGGTAGGCACAGCAAGCGGAACAGCAGCGGGAGCGACCACCGGAGTGACAACCGGCCTAATAACACCAGGAGTAAGGTGCGCGGTGCGTGCCAGCAGAGTTTGCAACGCCTGAGCGAACTGATCCAACAGGAGATCCTGTTGATCCAGTCTGGCAACCAACATAGGAAGTGAAGGCGTACCTGCACCGTCAGGATTCATGGCACTTGTGTAATGTCAGGGCAGGGCTGTGGAACGGACAGGTAGGCCTAGTGGCAGGGTAACGCACTGGCTGACGACAACCACCACCAACAGACTGAAGTCCCTCAGGGCGCGGAGTCTAAGTCCCAGGCTGCCCTTCACCAGGGCCCCTGATGGTGGGGATGGACTTGACGCAACCAGGGACCAGGTCGCGGCCCCCGAGACACCCCAGCTGCGGTAATGGCCGACGCCAATGGCGTGTAGTTGGTGAGAATGACAATAGCGTAGTCAGACAAGCCGGGTCAATAACAACAGGACAAAAACAGTACAGAACAGTAGACAGAGAATCACAGGTCACGGGCCGGGTTCAGCAACAGAAGGTCAGATCAAAGGGAAACGCAGAGAATGGTCTTAGTCACAAGCCGAGTCAGAATACCAGAAGAGTCACGAGCGTATACACAGAGCTGTAGCAAGACAAAGACACAAGACACAAGTGCAAAGAGCATGTGCAGATCCCAGGCTTATATGTACTCAGCCACACCCCTCTGGGGGATGGACCTCAGAGACCTGAAGGCATAAAAGATTCCCATCATGCTCAGCAGAAATCCAAGATGGATGCTAGCACATGGAGTAACATAACCTCTGGGAAAAGGTAGGACCTTGACAAAGAGGAACTACGTCAGTCACTCCCGTGGAAGAAGGAATGGTGGGTTCGGAAATGTCAGATGGCCACAGCAAATCTGTCCCTACCTCCTCACTCTCACTGTCCTCTTCATTTGCAGGAGGTGGTGTGGGTTGAGACCTGGTCACAGGTCTAGTCCTCTGAGAAGTTGAGAGGGTAGACTGTGGATCAGATTGTGATGGTAGACGGACTGCATCTGACAAAGGCAAAAGGTGGTTGCGGTGCCAGGTTTTGAGTGGGCCAACACCCTTTTCCGGTCGAATCTGGTAAACTGGCAATCCAGGCAATTGTTTGCAGATGACATAGGGCTCTGATCGCCACCGATCCGCCAACTGGTGTTTTCCAGGGATACCCAGATTTCTCAGTAAGACTCTGTCTCCAGATTGTAAGTCCTGTACTCGCACTCTGAGATCAAAGTTCTCTTTGTTTCTCTGACCCCTGGCGTCTGAGGTGGCTTGAGCCTTCTCATAAGCAATCTTCAGGCTTTTCCTTAGGCGGTCCACATATCCTCTATGGGAAGCTGCAGAGGTATGGTCTACAGAGGTTCCAAAAGCCAAGTCTACTGGCAGTCGGGCTTCCCGGCCGAACATCAGCCGGTAAGGAGAGTATCCTGTAGCATCGTTGGCAGTGCTATTGTAGGCATGTACGATGGCTGCTACATGCTTACTCCAGTGTTGCTTTTGCACTGAAGTCAAAGTCCCGAGCATATTCAGGAGGGTACGATTGAATCTCTCTGGCTGAGGATCTCCCTGAGGATGGTATGGAGTAGTCCTCGACTTTTGGATGCCTAGTAGACTCAAGAGTCTCTTGATGAGATTGCTCTCGAAATCTCTCCCTTGGTCTGAGTGGATCCGTTGTGGTAGTCCATAATGCACAAAGAACCTTTCTACTAAAATCTTTGCCACAGTTGATGCTAACTGATCTCTAGCAGGAAAAGCCTGGGCATACCTGGTAAAATGGTCAGTCACTACCAGGATATTTCCCTGTCCACTCTGATCCGACTCCAGGCACAGGAAGTCAATGCACACCAATTCCATGGGTCCCTGACTTTGAAGGTGGCCCATTGGGGCAGCTCGTTGAGGCAGAGTCTTCCTCTGAATACATCGGATGCAGGAGTGACAGTAACTTTCAACTTCTGTCCGCATTGCAGGGCCAGTAGAAGTGGTCTCTTACCAAACAAAAGGTTCTTTCTGGTCCCAGATGGCCATGGTCATCATGGAGAGCAGTCAGCACCGTTTCTCTGTGTTTTGCGGGCAAAAATAGCTGCCATTTCTCTTCAGGATCATCAGAGGGGCCCCTTCGGTAGACCACTCTGTGGCGTAACTGTAGCCGATCCCACTCACGATGTAGCGCCGGGCCTCCCTTGACGATGTAAGAAGCAAATCAGGGCTTTTGCTTTCTAAAGCCTTCAATACTAGGCCGCAGAGGGGGTCTTCCAACTGATCTCTTCGCAGATCCTTCCTGGAAAGCTTGGGCAGGCCTTCACCCCCAACCTGGGTGATATTGCAATAACACCTGGGAACGCCAGACGCCGAAATCCCAATGTCTTCTGCCCTGGACCCACCTCTTGTTCCGTGTTCCACTCCTTGGCATAAGGCTCGTACCCCTTCAGAGGGCACCTGAGTCCACTCTTCATGGGCAGTCTGGGGAATCCTTGGAACAGTGAGGTCTTCGGGATAAGGCATCTGCATCCCTATTCCCAATCCCTGGCCTATAACTGAGGCTGAAAGTGAACTCCGATAAGGCAGCTAACCACCTGTGGCCAGTAGCATCCAGCTTAGCTGTAGTGAGAATGTATGTGAGGGGGTTATTATCTGTTTTTATCACGAATTCTGCTCCATATAGGTAATCTCGAAGTTTGTCCACTACTGCCCACTTCAAGGCCAAGAATTCAAGCTTGTGGGTGGGGTAGTTCTTCTCAGCGGACGCCAAACACCGGCTCACATAGGCGACAGGTCGCAAGCATCCATTCTGTTCTTGATAGAGGACTCCCCCTAACCCATCTCTACTTGCATCCACATGCAATTCGTACGGCTTGGCTGGGTCTGCATAGGCCAGGATTGGGGCGGTGGTTAGACTCTTTTTCAGCCGTTCAAAGGCCTCTTCACACTGGGTTGTCCATTGTCCTTGAATAGATTCCCTAGGCCTCCTGGGTCCCACTGCTGGCTTCGCAGGTCTAGAAAGATCTGCATCATCATTGTCTTCTTCGTTTCTGAGCAGTTCATTGAGTGGGCGGGCTATCCGAGCGAAGCCCTGGACGAATCTGCGATAATAGGAGCAAAACCCCAGGAAAGATCTGAGCTCTGTGACATTTGTGGGCCTTGGCCATGAGGTGACAGTTTCCAGCTTCTTGGGGTCAGTGGCCACTCCATCGGCAGATACGATATGACCCAGGTAATTGACCGAGGGTTGGTAAAACTGGCACTTCTCCAAAGACAACTTCAGTCCCTCATCATGAAGTCTCTTGAGCACCTTCTCCAATATCTCCTCATGTTCCTCCAGAGTCTTCCCGAACACAATGATGTCGTCCAAGTATACCAGTACTTCAATTAAATTCATGTCACCCACCGTCTTCTCCATCAGCCTTTGAAAGGTGGCTGGAGAGTTGCACAAACCTTGAGGCATCCGATCAAATTCAAAGCACCCTATTGGGGTTATGAACGCGGTCTTTTCTCGGTCTTCCGGGTGCATGGGGATCTGGTAATACCCATTCTTCAGGTCCAGCACACTGAACCACTTTGCCCCTGATAGGCTTTGCAAAGCATCCTCTATCCTGGGGGTGGTATACTGATCAGGAACAGTTCTTCGGTTTAGCGTCCGGTAGTCGATGCACAATCTCAAAGATCCGTTCTTCTTCCGGACCACCACTATCGGAGAGGCGTATGGGCTTCAGGACTCTCTGATGATGCCTGTCCTCTTCAACTCTGCCAATTGCTCACGCAGGTCTTCCAAATCTCCCAATGGAACTCGTCGAACTCTTTCCCTGAATGGGGCATCTTCTCGAAGCCGAATCCGATGATGAGCACTCTCTGCACACCCCACATCGAACTCCCTTCTGGAGAATGCAGCCCGCCACCTTAGGAGTTGATTCTTCGCTCTCTCTCTCCATTTCGGGGAAAGGGGGGTGTTCCTTGGGTAAAACGCATCGACAGGGATTTCTTTCTCTCTTCCGTCCCCTAGCTCAGTGGGCAAGATTGGGGTTGCAGGATCCACATGTCCTAACAGCACCCGAGCTGGGATTTTCACTGGGGCAGCAGTTGGGTTATGAACACTGACCGAAACCTTTCCGTGGCTCCTCCATAGCGCTTTTGTTGACACTACCTCCGGGAGGATCTCCACTCCTGTGTTCTCATCACAGCCACCAGCCTCAAGGACAATGAAGGGGCCTGGCTGCTTCCAGGTCAATTTGACTGATGCTTGTAAACACGCCACCTCTCCGGGTTGTAGCACCTTCTCATGTTGATCCAGGCGCCATATCTTCCCTATTCTTTCCGCTGGGCTCTCCTCTCTTGTACCATGCGCTGATATGCTTGCCTCAGCATGGGATGTACAGAAGTGGGTTGATCATTGGGCTCTTCGACCAATGGCGCCAACAGCCTTCTGACAAGATTGGTGTTGGTCCCTATGATTAGGGGACTCCTATTGGCCCCAGGCGGCCGGGGACAGATGACGGCTAAGGCTTCGAAAGTCTCATCCTTCCCTGTCATGGAAGGATCAAAAGTTAGTCTGACCGATAGGTAACCATCATAGGGAAACTTCTGGGTTCCTATGCCCCATATTTCCAGGTCTTCCAGCTTCTGCAAGGGCAAATGCTTCAGATGCTTGTCATAGAAGTCTCGGTACAGAAGGGTTACTTGGGCTCCGGTGTCCAGAAGAGCCCTGGTATAAATCCCTTCTACCTGAATCGGGACGACAGGGGAGGGTCCCACTAAATTCTCAGGGAGTGGTGAACAGGTAGCCGTCTTCTTCTGTTCTGCAGTTCTTATCCTTACTCCCCTCTGGGGGAGTTTTGGCTCGGCCTAAGCCGTGGTTGACTCCCAGGTTTGAGGTGTGCACTGACTCCCTGAGGTGAAGTGGCATTTTCCCTAGTCTGTTTGTAAGGGATGGTGGGGTCCTTCTGGACAGGACCAGATTTTCTCCTCGCCCCCCTTTTACTTGGTTGAGTGGAGCTAGCTACGGTGGTGGGGTCCCTGGGTTGCTCCTTCACCAGGGCCCTCTGAAGTTTTCCGCCGGTTTTTGGCGCTTAGCTTCAGGCTTCCTGGGGCTCGGACAGACTCTCCTGACATGTCCGGTCCCTCCACAATTAAAGCAGATCATTTGAATGGTGGACTAGTTGCTTGCGTTGGGGCAACTCCTGACAGGTTTTCAGAAACTGCTCTCGTCTCTCTCGCTAAACCCGACGGTCCCGCCATTAGTAAGGTCACCATCTCCATTAGTTGGAACACCTGAGTCTTAAGGAGTTCAACTTCAGGGGTGTCACCTCCCACATTGACTACCCGGACCCCTACAACAGAGTCTGACTGTCTCTCTTTGTCATCCAACATGGCTTCCTCTTCTCTCACAGTCCGGATCAAGTCTGGATAGTTCAGGAGGCCACCATCTCGCCGAGTTCGTAATAGAATAGCAATGGGGTCTAGGGGCCTGGCTCCCCGTAGGACTTGTTGCGCCCGAACCTCATCTACTCTTTCAGGGCCTATTCCCCTTTTTAGCAGAATTTGGTATATTATCTTGTCTAGACGTCCCATGTAACTGGAGAGTTTTCTCCCCTTCATTTTGGTAGGTATGCTCTAGCTGATAGATGAGGTCTGAAGCCTTTTCAGTACGCCCAAATACATCTTGTAAAATATCTAGATAGTCCTGAGCAGTGCAATCCTGTTTGCTAAGTTTTAGGTTGCAAATGGCCTCCAATGCAGGGCCCTTAGGCTCTCCGTAATCCTCTGTTTCTTGTGGGCCTCAGGAATGTCCCATTCACTTAGTGCTTGCATGGCTTGGTCTAGCCACTCTTCAAAGCCATCCTCCCTGGTAGGTATTGGTTGCCTACCCGAGAAGAATCGGAGCTTCCGAT